GTCTTATGCTCTTTCTCTGAGACATAATGGGTGGATAAAACGTAACTAAATTAGATTTTGTTAACATGCCTTGAACAATGGGGATTGTGAAAGGCTTTAGCCTCCTCTGACTTGCTCATATATGCCTCACGGTAAGATCTATGCAATTATTTCCCTCCACATTATGAGTTTCTGCATGTAGTCCAGGTAAGAGACCTGGAAAAAGAAGCAGAGTCCATGTTGTCTGAACACCACCCTTGGGTGTGTTTGTCAGACCCACTGGATGATACTTTAAGACCTCGAGATTTGTTCTGCGGTGTGTTACTTCACTCTCATCGTTATTCAGATGTCTGCAAGTGATCGTCTTACTCAACTTTTTTTGTTGTGCTTTCGAGGGCACCATTGTGCCAACGACAACGCTCTCTCGCAGTCTGGTTGCCCTTGATTCTGTTTCGTAGCAACGTAACTTCATTTATTGTGTACAGAAGTGCTTATATTCTCAAGTTTTCCCTCTGATTGCCCTCCATTGTTCATCTCCACTGTGCTGGCTATAATTACTCTCTATCTCCTACTTTCTTTGGAAGACCCCTTCAGCCCTGAGGTGGAGGAAGAAGAGGTGGAAAATGGGGTCAGGGGGCCCAGAGGCTTTGGGTCCCTCAGTGTGAGGATTTGGGTTCTGGAGCCGTATAATTACCCCTCTCTCACAACTCCCTCAAAAGCGAGGACTGATCTTTATTTGTGGTGGTCTAAGTGGATGACTCAGAGGAGGGAGTTAGCAGAATATAGTCTCCCTGCTACTTCTCCTATTCCCCCACTAACAACATCTCCATGCAGCTGAAGTGAACTAGGCCTATATTTCAAACGCTTTCCCCCCTAGATTGGTTTGTTTTTCTTACTGATGTTGGCAAACTGTAAATCGCATTGGTACTTCACGAGACATTTCCTCTTGTTTCAACCCTGTCACAGTAGCAAATACCAGTGGAAACAGGGTCAAACCAAGGGGTACAAGGACACAGGTGTTCCCCAAGGTAGCTGTACAGAGGTTGCCAGCTGTCTTTCTGTCAAACTCGATTAGTCAATCAATCTGTCGTTTCACAGTGCCTGCTGATGGGTCTATACACTCTGGTCAAAAATATCTCATCCGTACATGCATACCAGAATAAATGAGAAATGAAGGGTTTGGTGTACATCGGTTAAAAATAAAAACCTGACACATCACCAGCTGGTCCCCTCCTGTGTTTGCTAAGGATAGCATCACAATTGATTTTCATACTTAGGGTTAGGGGGTCTCTTATGACTTGGACCAGTAAGTGAACACCAGCAGTGTTGGGAAGGTTACTTTGGAAATGTAATAGGTTAAAGATTACAAGTTACCATATTTAAAATGTAATAGTAGTGTAACTTTTTCAATTACTTTATTATAGTAATATATAATATAGTAAAGTGATTAATTTTATAAATTTCTAATGAATGTTTATTTGCAACTGTTAATCATTTTCAAACATTTACACCATGCAGGGTTAACCTTACAGTAGTGCCATATTTACAGATGAAACTGACCTGCACTTGAAACCCTGAACAGTAGTTTTGCTTCTCTGCTCCACCTGTGCGCTTCCACAGTCCACTCCATTCTCTCTCTCGCATTGATTACTCTGATCTAAACCGTTCGGCGGAGGCGCGGGGAGCGCGTGAGCCGAAGCATTGCAAGTCACGACTAACCGATTCATGATTTATTAGAGATTTAATTATCGAATGGCAAATAAAATTAAAGGGCCGTATGTCTCAGAGTAATCAGTGCAATTTGGGAAAGAAATCAATTAAATCTGTATGTGGATTTGTGTAAATATTCAAATGAAATCCCATTTGTAATCGTTAACATTTTCATAAGTAACTGTAATTTAATTACACATTTTTTCTTAGTAACTGTAACTGATTACAATTACATTTATTTTGTAATTAAATTACATAACCTCGTTACATGTAACTAGTTACTCCCCAACACTGAACACCAGTAACATCATTGTGATGACAACTTTTGGATGGGCTTCACTCTGAATAAAGTGTAAATATCTACTTTAAACCATTTATAGGTGGTTAACACAGCTGAATTCATGGCAAAATTTTTTTAACTTTCATGTTCCTGCAAAACAAACCTGAAACTTCCAGTGTAACACTGCATGAGAAAGAAGAAAGTTCCTCAGTGATAAGAGTTTATTTCTTTCTATTCGACGTCGGTACCATGCGTTCTCTGAAATCTTGAATGTCTTGCTTTCAGGTTTGTGCATTAGCAACTTTGAACCGTCTTTTTTTTTTTTTTCAACTTTCATACACTTGCAAACACGCACGCACGCTCGTGCACACGCACACACACACACACACACACACACACACACACACACACACACAAGACATATATTTCTGTGTGCATTGAATGAACAGTGCATATCTTGCCTGCTTCTCTCGCTTTCTCTCTAAATGTGTGGCTAGTTTCAACCCCGCTGGTCATGAGACATAGTTTACTTTTAGACTAATCAGTGTCTTCTCAAGTTTAACTTTTCCCAGATTATCTTTCAAATGCCTGTAAGTCCTAAATGTAGAATTTAAACACTTGCCCATACTTGTTGAACTCTCATGACTGATGTCACCCATAGGCCTGAGCTCAAACCAGTATTTCAACTATTCATAAAATGGCTTACAAATACTCATATCAGATCCCCAATCAGCAATTCACCTTAGACTCTTCAAAATTGTCCATTATTGTCTCATTTTCAAAATGTACCATTTAAATTAGGGCTGTGTATTGGCACGAATCTGGCGATACGATACGTATCACGATACAGGGGTAGCGATGCGATATGTTGCGATACATTGCGATACTGTAAGCAAGGCGATATATTGGGATATTTCTTATTTTAGGAATAGAATATATTTTTAGGAAAGCTGTCATTAAGAACACACCACCATATGCAAACCTTAGCAATAAATAAATACAAATTATTTAACCAGAACACAGTGGGATCTGCATTTGCAATAATCAGTCCCTGTAACATTCAATGTTATTGAACCACTTTTTGTGCAGTACGAGTAAAGGGGGAAAAATTAAAGAATCCTTTAGTTAAATGTATATGTATAAAATGTATTTTATAAAAATACCATATTTTAAACCCTGCTTTAAAGGTTCACAGTTTAAGTTTACAATTGTAACATACAATGTCATTTGATTTTTTACCGAGAACCGTTGCACCCCTAATGGTAATGTTGCCATTTTAAGATGACACATGAACAAAATATAAGATGAAATACTAAAGTCGTGCTCGAACGTTCACTTCTTAAAAGAACGATGATGTCATTATTATAGCAAAGTTTTGTATATTTATATGAGGGATGCAAATGGAACGCATTTGGTCAAATGACCCACAGTTTCCCTTGGTTTTGTTTTCCCCTGCAGTATTTCCAACTTTTATGAGTGGCGTGATTAAGCACAGTAGTTCAGAGTTACTTCCTCTTTGCTAAGGTCTCTCTGTAGGAGGTAATTACCTGTTTTGCCAGTCATAAATAAGCGAGAGAGAGAGAAAGAGAGAGGGAGTGGGGGAAAGAGGGAGGTGAAGGTATGTGGTTTAGTATATGTTTGTGCAGGAAGCAAGACCAACAGGACAGCACAGCACCTCACGGCGAGGAGAAATATATCTACTCTGGGTCTCTTACGACAGGTTTGTTAAAGACAACAGAACTCATGGACCCTCAAGGGACACGTTTGCCTCAGAGTTATTCACAGGTCAGGAAAGCTTCTGTTATGAATGGCCTCTCTAGAGCTAAACAGGAACTGAAAGTGCTCATGGATGCATAGCCCTTCCGAGGAAGCATATGCAGGGTTGATATGTAAGAAGAGCCGATTGTCTGGTCAGGTGTTAAGGAAGTGAAGACAAAGAAAATATGAATGAAACGCAGGGGGTGAGGTAAAGGGGGTAGTTAAACAAAAGTATGAGTAATAGCTTTAGAGAAAAGGAAGGGGTGAGAAGGAGGGGTGTGAGTGTTGACACATCATTCTCAGCTGGAGGGGGTAAAAGAAGGTCACCAGGGAGACAAAAGGCCAAGGGTCTGCCAAAACAAGACACATTTGACTGTTGGGCATGCCGTATTCAGGGTTGAGAGACAAAACCACTATTGTTTTAACTGGGGGCAGTGGATTCATCTTCTACGTGACAGATACTCCTGAAAGCCGTTGCAGGGAAAACATAGAAAACCCATTCATTTACTACTAATTGCCTGCCTGGTTTATTGTAGCTTAATTCAAGTGCCATCATTGTGGGCACACTCACACTGGATCCCACATTGTTTCCATTAATAGGTGCTTGAGGCTGTCACCAAGTTTACCAATGAGAAATAATTAGGATGGAGTGGTGTGGGAGGGTTGGCAGTCAGGATCAGAGTCGGGGTGGGGGGATCCACCATCATTACACATGCGGGGAAAGTCTACATCCGGAGCTCTTGGAGACCTAATGCTGCCTGTAAACATCACTGCCATGCTTGTAATTAGTCCAGTTTGTCGACTAAGGTGGCGTTTGAAGTACTCTTGTTGAATTGGCATGCTAGCTGTTTTGACGCACTCGACTGTAGCGTGAAAGCCCGAGTCGAGTCAATGAGCTGTTGTGACTTCTGTTAGGGTTGATAGTTTCCGTGATGCATATTCGAAATAAATACCAAAACACATGGAGAGATTCCGTATGCTATTAATTAATTTAAATAAATATTTTGGTTACGTTTTATTTTAAGGTGATGTTGTTACAATGTAATTACACAGTACTAGGTAATCTTAATTAAATGCATATACTTACTATAGGGTTAGGGTTCGGTTTAGGGTTAGGGTTAGTTATTTACACATGATATTGGTGACTGTCACCTTAAAAGAAATTTGGTTTTAATATTGGTAAATTACCAAAGTATTGCAAAATGTAGTGCATTAACAATCATTCTTAGCACGGATTGGTTGACTTGTTTGTAATGTCCTTGTCTTTCTGCAGCGGGGAATGGGCAGTCGGTGCAGACGGACCCCAGTAAGTCTGGATTCGTGGGTGACACGGTCGAACTGCGATGTGTCTTCATCAACGGTAAGCCACCAGTGAAGATCTCTCAGGTCACCTGGCAAAAGCTGATAAATGGCACCAAACAAAACGTCGCCACCGCTAACCCAGACTTGGGAGTATCAGTGCTGCCCCCTTTCAAAGACCGTGTGAGCTTCAAGCATCCTGCTGTGCGCCAGAGGTCCCCTTCTACTCTTGAGGATACCACCATTGTGTTCAGCAACCTACGGCTATCTGATGAGGCGGCCTACATCTGCGAGTACACCACCTTCCCAGCAGGCAACAGGGAGAATATGGTCAACCTCACCGTCTTTGGTAAGACCACCATACTGGCAGCTGAGACCGTACATATATAGTGCTGTTCTCCTGTGAAAAGAATGCATTCACAGAGCATCAATGGGCCTCATTCATGAAACATGAGCAGAATACATTTCTGTGTATGTCATTCATGAAATAATTCTGAAATTGTCAAATTAATGTGACAGTGGGCCTCATTCACAAATAACAAGCAGATCAAATTGTGTAATTTGTTCAAAAAACATTTATATCCCATGCTAAAATGTGTGTAAGAATAGCTATGCATAGAGTTATTCACATTAAATGGTACAATTTATGTAATATTTTTGATACAAAAATTTGCATTGAATGTAATAAATAAAAAAATAAACAGTAAATTACGAACAGTTAAAGAAAAAAAAAATGCAGTGCAGTGCCAAAGCACTGGTTTGCACTGAGCAGCAAGTTCTCTGCACACATATAACACCGTGGCGGACAGCACAGAAATAGGTGTCATTTTCTTGAATATTCTCCGCACTCTTAGCACTGACATGGTGAGAGATTTTTGATTAAAGGTGTCGTCATGGTTAGCAGATAGTAAGGTGTAAATGGATGTTGTTTCAGCAATATTTTATTCATAACCCTGCAAGCCCTTCAGAAAAATCACCTTTGCCCTTGACCACTCCAGGTCTGTGAGGTGCTTGGTTAAAGCCTTCACTACGCTTGAAATGTATTGATCAGTGCTCAGCACAACAGAAAGAGCTACACCCTAGCCTCGACCTTCAGATATAATGCATTCATGCATGTTTTCGCTACACACACAAGTGAAGATAAGCTATCATTTTATTAAAGGAATCCAACATTGTATTATTTTCTTACTTCCTTGAAACGCAAAATCCGAGGTTAAGCAGAATGTCCAAGCTGCTCTTTGACAACAAAAGTGGATGGTGTTGTATACCCAAAAAGACCATTAACACTGTAAAAGTAGTACATATCCAGATCTTCTGATGCTATACAATAGATCAGGGTTTCCCTAAATGGGGTTTGTGTGTTGATGAAAAGCTTATAATTCATGAAATAAAAAAACTGTCAAATTAAAAGAAAGAAAGAAAGAAAGAAAGAATTTTTTTTAACACTAGTGTGGCTTGTTAACTCCCAAGCCCATTTTGTATATCACGTTCACATGCGTCCTCTGAGAACACTGGCAACATGAATGGAGATAACCAGCTCAATGTTTTCAAAGAGCCTCTTCATGTCATATCAACCCTCGACACAAACCTCAGTCCTGCTATCAGCACTCTTTGCCATGCACTCACATAAACACACATCTTCCCTTTTGATGCGGGCCTGTTAATTGCTAATTGGCAGCCCATAAAGGATCGAGATTGGATGACTTTGGGCACTGCGAGAAACGAGTGGTTTCTACATCTGTTATTTGAGTGCTTGACTGATGCTTTCGCTTTGAACACGGGTTAGGGGAAAAATACATTAGTGAACTGCTTGATTTATACTGACGGGGAAAAAATGACTTTTCAGAACGGCGAGATTAGTGTTAGAGGCGCTGGATCAGTGAGAAAAAGAAACTTTTTTTTTTTTTTTTACTTCACAGCTTCTCAAGGGCACATTTGTTGCTCCTGTTCACACAGTACTTTAGTATATTACAGTGTTTCTTTTCTTGTTTTTTTACTGCTTACTTCTTTCTTCCAGCACGGCCAGTGACCAAGATGACCTTGACTTCACCCACCATTGTGGCAAGGATGCCGAAACGCAAGATGCCTGTGGCCACCTGCATGTCGGCTAACGGCAAACCTCCCAGCATCATCAAATGGGACACCACTCTGAAGGGTGAAGCCACGTTTCAGGAAACGCGCAATCCAAATGGCACCGTGACCGTGCGCAGCAACTACATCGTGTTGCCCAGCCGCGAGACCCACCGTCAAAAGCTGACCTGCATCGTCACCTACCGTACAGACCGCTTTACTGACAGCGTCATACTCAATGTTCAGTGTAAGTTTTTCTTCGTGTCTTTCAAACTCCAACATTAAAAAAAATAAATTACATTGATAGGTATGTATAACATATTCTACCATTAAAAAGTTTGGGATAATATTAAATGTTTTTGAATGAAGTCTCTTATGCTCACCAAGGATTTAAGCATCTATTTGATCAAAAATTCAGTAAAACAGCAATACTGTGAAAAATTATTACAATTTCAAAGAACTGTTTTCTGCTTTAATATATTTTAAAAATGTATTCCTGTGATAAAGCTGAATGTTCAGCATCATTACTCCTGTCTTCAGTGTTACATGATCTATCAGAATAATTTTAATATACTGATTTACTGCTTAAGAAACAGTTCTTATTATTGTCAACGTTGAAATCAGTTTTTGCTGTTTGGTATTTAATAGAGAAGAAATCATAAATTGTATTAATCAAGGATGCATTAAATTGATAAAAATAAAAAGACAGGGAAGGCATTTATAATGGTACAGAATATTTTTGTTTTTAAATAAATGCTGTTCATTGAACTTTCTATTCATTAAAGAATCATTAAAGAAAGTTTTCAGCATTGATATCAAGAACCATTATTAATAATTGTAATAAATGTAAAATGTGACACTAAAGACTGCCAAAAAGACTGCCAAAAAAAACCAGCTTTGCCATCACAGGAATAAATAACATTTTAAAATATATTAAAATAGAGTATTTTCTCAAAGTTCAGATTTAATTCAACTGATTTAATGATTGAGCTGATGAGCTGACGATCCATCTGACTTGTCTAATTAGTGACATATTTATATAAAACCCCACTGGAATGTCAAAGAATGTCTAAACAATGCATACAAATCTAATAAGATGTTAGCATTTATGCTGTACTGTTACGCAAGTTCTGCGGAGGAGGTTCGGAGCAGGAAGAGATGTGTCACTGGCCTGTCTCAGCCGCTGTTGTTATCAGCTATTGTTTAGGGCAGTTTAGAGCAGTACTACAGCCTCCGTACAGCACACTGATAGAGGAAATCCACCCATTCTCCCACACTACGCTATAGAATATATTGTTCTTACGGTGCGCTTGTTTGTGTGAAAGGCCATGTTTAGAGCAGCGGTAAGTTCACAGAGAATCACTCGTCCTGATTCTTGATTTACTTTGAGTGTTTTGTTAATCAAGTTACCCTTTGGTATAACATTTCCAAATTTAATTTGCTCGGCCTTATACATGCTTATGAAAGCAATTAAGAATAAATCTGAAGAGACATAGAAATTGCTGACCAGTACCATCAAGTATGCAGTGCATTTTAATATCATCATTAATAGAAAAATTGTGCTGTAATGAATTGAAATTTGGCATTTAGCTGAGGTTCTTATCCAATTAGGCCAATTTCTGGAATAGTTGCCCTGGAGCAGCTTGTGGCTAAGTGGGTAGCTAAAGGGCACAGTGGTGGTTGTAGTCTCAGTAACCCTTCACTTGTTGGCCCTTCTCCCAATCGCTTAAGAAATAAACTCTTGACCTTTTAGCAATGAGCCCAGGCCATTAATCAGTATTATGACAAGCACCCATCGTCAAGTCATGTGACCCAGAAAAGCCATCTGAGCCCCTGCCTGAAGACATTTTTTTTGCTTTTATATAGTTTAGAGCAGTACTGCAGCCTCCGTACAGCACACTGATAGAGGAAATCCACCCATTCTCCCACACTACGCTATAGAATATATTGTTCTTACGGTGCGCTTGTTTGTGTGAAAGGCCATGTTTAGAGCAGCGGTAAGTTCACAGAGAATCACTCGTCCTGATTCTTGATTTACTTTGAGTGTTTTGTTAATCAAGTTACCCTTTGGTATAACATTTCCAAATTTAATTTGCTCAGCCTTATACATGCTTATGAAAGCAATTAAGAATAAATCTGAAGAGACATAGAAATTGCTGACCAGTACCATCAAGTATGCAGTGCATTTTAATATCATCATTAATAGAAAAATTGTGCTGTAATGAATTGAAATTTGGCATTTAGCTGAGGTTCTTATCCAATTAGGCCAATTTCTGGAATAGTTGCCCTGGAGCAGCTTGTGGCTAAGTGGGTAGCTAAAGGGCACAGTGGTGGTTGTAGTCTCAGTAACCCTTCACTTGTTGGCCCTTCTCCCAATCGCTTAAGAAATAAACTCTTGACCTTTTAGCAATGAGCCCAGGCCATTAATCAGTATTATGACAAGCACCCATCGTCAAGTCATGTGACCCAGAAAAGCCATCTGAGCCCCTGCCTGAAGACATTTTTTTTGCTTTTATATAGATGAGCCAGAGGTAAAAATCGAGGGATTTGATGGGAACTGGTACCTGAATCGTCAAGATGTAAAGCTGACGTGCAATGCAGACGCCAACCCAGCCGTCACCGTCTACCAGTGGAAACTGTGAGTTATTCTTGCCTGCCATACTAATCCACATTACTAATAAATCACTTTGTTGTCACAGCTTATCAATTTAATGAGATGAATGAGTAATGTATTTGAGTGAAATACATAAAGGTTGGTTTTTTTGCAAGTAACAAAATAAATCATTGTTAGATTTGAAATAGTTCTTGCTATTTTTTTTTTTTTTATTATTTTACATTGAGTTTGAGTTTGAGTTTATTTGACCTAAAAAGTAGCAATACACTGTTACAAGTTTCTTGTCAAGGATAACACAATCAAGTTGCATTAACATATTTCCATTGTGGTCCTTGCTTTTAAAAGAGAAAAGAAGAAAATCCTAGCCAAAAAATCATAAAAAAAATAAATAAAAATTACCTCACACCCATAAAAATAACAAACAGATCAAACAATTCCTTATACATTTAAATCATCTTATCTAAAAACATCTAAAATCTAAAACAAGGGTCTCTTCACGCTTATTCTGAAACCCTCACAATCTGTTAATACCTTGGTATTCATAGGCAGCATATTCCATTCTTTTGTGCCTGAATATTTAAACGACCTTAGCCCATATAGTGTCCTATACCTACATATATTAATATGCATAATGCTCTGTTCGGTAAAACATCCGGTCTTACATTTTTTAATTTACATTTTTTTTTACACATTTTGAAATAATAGTACAGTTTTCAAAACGATTAAATAGCACAAATGTAACTGTAAAATAAAAATAATTAAACAAATGAACGAATGAATGAATGAATGAACAAGCAAATATATATATATATATATATATATGCTTAGTAAAGGAAATCAGGCAGCAAGTGTTCAGCATGCATGTGAACTCCTCTATCTAATCCATCCAAAAAGTACAATTTTATTTTAATTATTTTTTATTTATTTTATAATTTTTTTAAGAAATGCATCATTTATATTTGTCTACAAAACTAATGTCAAGCATTTACTCATAAGCCTTTAGATCAAAAGGTTTTTAAGGTTTTCAAGATCATGAGGATCAGTGTGTCCAAACATTTGTATATCGGCATCATTAAACTAAATAAAAGATGACCGATGTTTGAAGAGTACTCCTCTGAAATATTCAGTTTACTGTAATACTACATGACAGCATAGATGTGTTATGACTGATAAGAGAATAATTTCCTTCCGTAAACTACTTTTTCATTCATTGGTGGTTAGCACTCAATCAAGATAAGTAAAGCCGTTTACAATGGCTCTATTCAGAACTCACTGAGCCATTGATAAACCTTCAAACAAGATCAAACGTGAGAAAATAAGCTATGCTTTGTGTACTTCTGAATGTTTACCTTACCAATATGCCGGTTTTAAAGAACAGTGAAAGAGATATACAGCGAGATCGAGTCTTGTTTGTCAGTATGGGTCTTGTGATGGCTATTGTTGTACTGGTGCTGCAGGTTTGGATGTAAAGTATGTTGGCAAAAAATGACATCATTGCTTTGCCTACCAAATGAATATGATGACAGGACAGTCTCAGGGCTGTTTTATAAACCTTTCTGTGGACAATGCTGGTGTTTGTGTGAGGTCAAGGGCGTAGAAACCATTACTCATTAATCATTTTAACTTTTATTAATAATTATACACCCCCACACATATTATATTACCTTTTTTTTTTTTTTTTACAGTGGCACCCATATCTT